TCTACATTATCGATCAAGATATTACCGATCAATAGTTTTCATTACCAACCGCGCAGCGTCGAGTATTATTAGATTTTTCTTACCGATCGATGACTCGGTGCAAAATTTAGGAATTTATTTTACCAACTTCTTACCACAGACATATACCACTTTACATCATTTAATTACATTATCATTACAACAAACTAATTGCTGAGTTTCAATTGATCGAATGTAGATATTTTGAAATTTATTCATATCTCTCTTAATTTAATGAGTACAAATATTTATCATTACATTATAACAGATGATCAAGGTGAGTGAATTATATTGTTTTTATTATTATACTATACTAGTTTTTTTTTTTTACAAATATAGTATAGATACATGGTATGTTACAAGACTATACCATCTCCCAGAAATTTGGAATCAGTTGTTAAACGAGAACTTAGATTTCTCGATAGAAAAGAAGAAATTGAATTTTCATAAAATGTAGCAAATTTCATATTTTCAAATGATATCACGATTTTCTCTTTACTGTATATTAAAATAATTTCAAAGAAACTTAATAATCCACAAAATCATTCTTACAAATCTGTACACACATAACAACAAAACAAAAAAAAAAAAAAAAAAAAAGGAAAAAAGGCATCTCGAAAAGTAGAGCAAATGACTATATTTAGAAACAAACGCATCTAGAAAAAAAGTTATCCATTATTAAGATTACCTTTAATTTCATTCTCTTCCAAAAACCACAAACATATTAGAATTGATCGCGAGTTTTTACACCGTACCGTAGATACATCCGAGCACTTCTCATCGGGGAAAAGTAACGCGGGATTTTGTGTGTCGGGACAGAAATTACAAATAAGACAACATCTTTACACGACGATTATCTCGAAGCATTTATGTCGAGCAGAGGTATATACGGGCCCCAGCAAGGGCAAATTGAGCAATTCCGATGCCGAATCGATAATGAGCTCATCCGTGTACCTTATTTTTCCCGTAGTGTATCGATTGTGTATATCTGACACAAGCGCGTCTTTTTTGGCAACGACCGCTTTTTCCTTCCTTCCTTTAACCGCGGTTGTCTCGCGTTTTTTTAGAATCCGCCTCTCGCCACGGGTGGTGTCGAACACCAACACAATCACGGGTCGCCGTTGATAAAATGCACCCTACGGAGCATCGTCCGTAAATTCTACCATTTTCTCTTCAATTCGTTCGTTCGATTGCTCGTTCGAAGGAATTCGCGAAATTTTTGCGTTTCTCACAGGAATAACTTTTTCAAACAACTTCGGTCAAATTTAAGTTAGCCAAGCGTGATCAACAATTTCCCCAATACGTTTAAATCCTTCATCGAAATTACTCGTTTATCCGGGTTTTCAAAGTTTCACGCGCTCGGTAAATCCAGAAATTTTTCCAGATTCTTCGCCCGCATTTAAGAAGGAACACTCTTTGATAATATGAAATAAATATGTAATAAATTTGCCAGCTGTAGTCACAATTTGTTCAAAAGTTGAAAAATACGAAGATTCTCAGATTCTCCCTCGCACGAGTTGTCAATTTTCTAGTTTTGTTGACAATTCAGAGTACAGGCTGCAATTGCCAATCTTTTTCGAAATCCAACGTGTCGTCCAATTTCAATTTCACGCGCTGTGCCTCTGCTACGTGCATTGAGCAATATCCCTCATAGAACCTGAACGTTCCATCACGTGCAACAGAACGTTTTTAACAGTTCAACAAAACTCGTCGTTGATTAGTGTCAAAGTAACAAATGGTCGTCTGACGACATTGTGGGTATACGATTTGCCTTTCGCAAGGCCGTCTCTCCAACCTAGAGCCCAACGACTCTGCTATCGAAAGTGACGATCCGTGTACTAGATCGGCGAGACACGCTGAGCGAAATGAATTGAAACGTTCAATGCAACGCGACGAATATGTGAAATAAAAATTGTTGGAAGAATATGAAGCGTGGCTTTGAACACTAAGATGAAAATTAGCAGACTATTTTAGCGAATAACTTGATCAACAGCTTTTAATAGGAAGAAAATCTATTAGCGAATCACGAACGGATTTTATTCAATACACGCAAATCCTAAATCTTGGAAAAAATAAGTTTCAATTTAGATCCACCGAGCTACTTTATTCTAAGCTTTATTCAACATCTTTTCACCGATAAAACAATGACGAACGCATGAAATTGGCAAAGTGAGTTTCTTTTTTTTTAAATTTACGAACAAAACACCAGGGATTTTTTTCAGATTTGAAAATCGTATCGAGTAAATGAAAACGCCCAGTTTCCAAGCAATATCTTTGTCTTTGTCACATTTAACACATTTATACTAAAATTTCAAATAATTGCATAAACGTCGATTAATGAAACAAGGAAATGGCGGCAAAGAGCGAATCGACGGAGGATTACAATTATGATGTTCCAATCGTGATTCAGAATTGATTAATTGACGTTTCTAAGCAATCGTGTGCGTAGCGTGGTCATTAAACAAGATGATTCACTAAATATGACGGGAACGTGCAGCTCGTTATCTCCTTCGATACATCTCGCGATAAGTAGATTCTTAATTGCCTTGTCAATGATAGATTCTAGTTTTTATTTGGACTATAAGAAAAGGAAAACAGGAAAGTATCATGGACTTTAAAAAAACAAAAAAAAAAAAAGAATAAAAAAGTCAGTTGGACAATTGATGTAGGTTATGGTAACAGGGGCGTCGTAAATCCGAAGTCAGATGATTAGTGTACGTACATTTTCCACATACTCAATGTTTGCTATTTCTTGTTGATGAAGATTTCAACAGAACGAGATGATTCATTAGAAAGGTGTAACTTCTTATTGTCTCTGCCGACGCGAAGGATTCCCCATTGTCTCGTTAATACTAGATTTACGATCGTGATCGTCGAGGAATACTTCGGTACCACTCTGACGAATCAAAATCCAATTAATTTCGCCGGAGATAACGGAGAATCGAACGTACAATATTCATATTTATTTCTATCAAACAACATCCTGAACAAGTAATAATAATCTTGGCAAATAA